TAAGATTGTGTCGGATTGCTATAAGAACGTTTCAGAAGTTAGCAAAGTACCAAGAATTTTCCGACCGACGCGTGTGAGTTTTATGAAAGATCGTTCGTGTGAGAATTCAGTGTTAAAGAGATCAACTTGTGATTGAAATCGGGTAGATCAGTCCTTGTAAAATTCTCATGCTTATCTCCTCTTCTCCTTCTCCCCCGGTTTTTAGCTGTCACAAAATGTGCTGTTCCTTTGAATGTCATAAAAAGCGAAACGCACGGCAAATTACGGCCAATTGATCCGTTATGATTAGCTTTTATTCAGATGTAGTAACTAATTTTGATCAAAGATGACGACTCTAACTTCTGAACTCCGTTTTTTGTTTCTTCATAAAAGCACTTACGAGCTAAGAAATTACTTCGCAAGCAAGAAATCCTGTGCACTCCTATTTCATATACAAATAAGTTGAGATACAGCAATGGGTTAGATAAAACATGGGCTAGAGCTATTCTTAAGCTATATATGTGTAATCTGTTCCACTAACCTGACCTGCTAGGGCTGCCTCGCCCACAAGTGCACTGTCTATGCTCTGTCCAACAAAGGTTGTCCCACATATAGGCGGCAATGTACATTCGCAGGACGCGTTGCAAACGCTCTGTATGGCGAGTTAAGGTCGTCCGGTGTTTAGCGAGTAAGAGGCGCTTTTTGTGGCGTTTTACCTAATATAGCGGCATGTGAACTTATTCGTTGCACTCACTCGCAAGGGGACCGCAGTGCCAAATGGCTGCGGAAGGTCCGCAGCCATTAGTATAAGGACCAGCTTTGATTAGACAAACTGTACCTTAGGACAAGCACTTTCACCTCCCTCCCACTTACAATTTAGACAAAAAATCGGAAGCGCAGAGAAAACGCAAAAAATGAAAATAAAATGCCAAATAGCTTGACATGAGAGGCGTCGCTGCTTGCGGCGCTTGTGCGCAGTTGCGGACCAAACAGCACACGTAGTCAGCCTTGAAAAAAACAGAATATATCTCTTGTCTTATTCTTCAATAAATACATAAGTAATAATTTAAAAATTTGCTAAATAGGAGGCTACCTAACTTTTATCATAGAACCAATGATTATAGCTGAAAGGAGGAACTTTTTCTTAAAA